AGAAAGATAGCCAAGTTTCCTATAATATTTATCTAATTCAAGAAACTATGCATTCTACTGTATGCTCAGGTATTTATAGTGAGGGGATTTCAAGGTTACATCAAATATTATCTCTAAAAAAATCTTCAACGTCCTATGTACATATAGATATATAGATCATATACAGATCATATTACTAGCATTTGTTGATTTTTCAGGAGCAGAAACAGGTTTGCACTCAACAAGATACTGACCTGGTCATGAGAAACGGCTATGAAACAAAATGAAACTCACTGGCTCATATACAAATCAAAACTGTAAGCCAGGTATGATGGCATATACCTATAACCCCTGTACTCTGGGAAGATGAGGTAGAAGGATGAAAAGTTTGGTCAATTTAGCAAGACCTTGTCTCAAATTGAAAAATAAAAAGGGTTAGGGACATAACTCAGTGTGGCTCAATCTCCAATACATATTAAAAAAAAAAAAAAAAAACTTAACCCAAAAGCATAATTACAGTGATTTTACTACTGCACATCATTATGACAATAAACTGAAAATTGTTAAAACAGATTTTAAGTGTTTTCGCCACCATCCCCCCAAAAAAGGCAAGTAAGGTAATGTGTTATACAAGTGTGGGAAGCAACTCCAGTGACTCCCTTTGAATCCAAAACAATTGCTGTGACTTTGATTACTTGGAGACTCATTTCCTTACACTGCTATGTGAAAGACTGGCTAGGGTATTTCCTTCCCTCTTCAATTGGCACTAAGCATTGCAAATAAGGTTAGCGTGCAAAGTCTAACCATCAGACAGTCCTGTTTCCTCGAATGGTGCTCTCCACAATACAGGATTGAGCTGGCGAGATGTAGAGCAATATGCTCCAGGAATGTCAACTGGGTATGGCCTCAAGATAAGAGGCTATGACTCCCCAGGGCACAAGAGTTTGCATATCAGAAATGAAGCAATAGCCCCCCAAAACAATTCCACTGTTACCTTAATCAGGTTATGTAAATTGATCCTTCTGCATGGCTTTAATTTCTGCAAATTACAGAGATGCCATCCTTGCACCTGGCCAGCCAGCTCAAGTTACTCAGTAATCCCTGACATCCTATCACTCATCCCTGAGCGACGCCCCCTTTCTTCACAAGAGAATAAATGTTGGGAGAGGTCTAGGATCGAGTTGTCCACATGTCCTCATGAGAAATGGACTTAGGACCTTTGGCTGCCCTTAACTTGGAACATGTCTTGGTGTCTTTACTCTCGAGGTGGGTTGCACTGGTGGTGGTAGAAATTTACCAGCTGGGACTCCAATAACGTCTCAATGGGATTACAAATATAACTTTTGGATTGAGAGGAAAACTAGAAAGAGGATTACAATATTTGGATGACTGAACTCGTTATTTGGGTTTACAACATACAAGGGCAGATTAAAATTTAGTGTGAGGGCCTGGGGATTTAGCTTAGTGGCATAAGCCCTTGCCCGGCAAGTGTGAGATAGTGAGTTCAATCCTTGGTCCAAGAAAAAAAAAAAAGACAAAAAAAATTCAGTGTGTGTTTAAATTTTATAAACTACCACATTAAGAGCCAAGCACTGGGGCTGAGGATTTAGCTTAGCAGCAGCATAAGCACCTGCCAGGCAATCGTGAGCTCATGAGTTCGATCCCTGGCACAAAAAACCAAATAAACAAAGAAAAAGCCAAGCATGGTGGTGCATACCTGTAATCTCAGCACTCAACAGGCTGAGGCAAGAGGATCATCAAGTTCAAGGCCTGCCTGGGCCACAAAGTAAGTTCAAAGACAGCCTAACTTCATAGCAAAATCTTTTCTCAAAAAGAACTACAAAAAAACACACATTGCCATTAGTCCCTTTCAAAATACTCCCCCTCACTCTGAACACTTCTCCTATGATCATCCTTGCCATTTTCTGAAGCAGTTCTCTTTTGTGTGTGATGAGATGTGACCAAAAAGCACAGTGAATGTTAATACCAAGTGCCATATGACAGAAAGGCAAGCTCATAAAAAACATGGTGTGTACTCATCCATGTTATTCACTAGACCTGGCACCATGCAACTTCTGGCTCTTTCCTGAAATCAAAATAACAATGAAAGGTAAAAGGCTCTAAACTGATTTAAGTATGGAGGCAACCATGACAGCACAACCAAAGACACTCAAAAAACACACTTCCAGAACTGCTGCACAAAGTGGCAAAAACAATGGGCTAAATGTGTTCAAAGTGAGGGGAAGTATTTTGAGAGAGAATAATAATAATGCATCATACTTTTTTTAGTATTTAAACTTCACTGTTCATTGAGCATACCATGTATGTTAGCTTTAGCCATTTCACAATGTACATATAACATATATACTCTGTAAATATAAAGTATTTTACTTATCAACTGAAAACAAAGGAACAAACAATGATCTAGTTGTTTGTTTCAAGTAGTAAGATACAATAAGTGTTTGTCCCTTCTTCCTCAACCCATTCTTCCTTTTGCTACCTTATGGTCTTGGGTATTCTCAATCTGAATTGGGCATTCTTAGTTCCTCAAAATTTAATTCAAATCCCATCTTTGTCTATCACACCTCCCCCAGTGTCACCAATGCTACCATACACTCTGAAATCAAGAGCACACATCCTCGTTCACTTTCCTGTCATTCAATAATAATATTCCAGTCAACAAAGGACTAGAAGAGTGGCTCCATAAAATTATATTGCACAGTAACACAGTGCCCATCTTTTCTTTTTTCTCTTTTTTTTTTTTTTTTTTTTTTGGTACCAAGAATCAAACTCAGGACTTTGCATTTGCCAGGCAGGCGCTATGTTACGGCAGCCATCGCATACTCCATGGTATGTCTTTGCATTTGCCAGCCCACTGTAGCCATTGTATACGCCATGATATTTTCACAAAATGAAATCACCTAATGCATTTCTTAGAACTTGCCCCTCTCCCAAACAATGCATGACTACACTGTTACTTTGATATTTTTACTTTTTCCATGTTTGTCTCTTCCTCTTTTTGAGACACAGTCTCACTTTGTAGTTCAGGATGGTCTCAAGCTCACAGCAGTTCTTCTGCCTCAGTTTCCTAAGTGCTGGGATCACATATATGCAGGTGCCACTACACCTGGCATAACTGAGGTTCTTAGAAGAACCACATATTCCTCCATATCATCTCTACAATATCCCACAAAGAACCCTGTATGTAAAATGGTACTTATATGGTTACATTCAATTGTGATAGGCTTCATTTATAAGTCAGGTATGATATAATAATTACACTAAAAAAAGCAACAACTTCTCTGGGTATCTAACAAAGGTTTAGAAAAACAATAAAAAGGCCTTTCAAATATCCATTTAGAGTGAGGATTTCAAGTAGTAAGATACAATAAAACTGTGGAAATGTTGACTAAGTCTTCTCACTCTAAAAAAAGCAAATTAATGAACAGCATTTTAAAGATCCAAAGAGCTAAGGTCACAATGGCATCATATTCAACATGTCACCAGTCACACACACTGGCTGAACTCCAGATTCTCTATCTGTACTGAGAGAGTTCTGGAGGTTCTAATGTCTGCTGGAAAAAAACAAGGTCGTCCAGACACTGAAATATGGCATAAAGCACATAAACACAGCAGAACCATGTAGCAGTTGATGAAACTATGATTACATTAAAGTAAGGCAAATAAAAAGGGAAGAAAATGCTGCAGATGTCTTAGCTGGGTGTGGAAGGCAGGGGCAGGATGGTCATAAGCCTGCAAATGCAAATTCAAGCCCTGCCTGAAGAACTTAAGAGATTTAGCAAGACCCTGCCTGAAAATAAAAAATTAAAGAACTGGGGATGTAGGTCAGTGCAAAGGCCCCAGGTTCAATCCCCAGTACCTCTCCCCAAAACCCCAAACACACACACACACACACAAGCACAAACATACACCTTGTAGGTGCAAAGGCTGTAAAATATTTTTTAGGGACTTACTGTTTTCAATTTGTGTTTCTAAGGGAAAAAAAGCAAAAAAAAGGCACGCTTTAGTAGGCTTTCTCCCAGATTCTGAAGCACTGTTAGAGGTGAATGTGACAGGCAGACGCCCTATCTTAAGACTGAACCTTGATACTTCAAAAACCCAAAACAGCTTCTGGGTTTTGGATGCTGGCACCAGCTAGCACACTGCAGAAGCATTTTCTTCACAACTAGACCACCACTTCTCTACTGGCTGACAGTCTGGCAGAAACAAGTGAAAACCAATTTTACATCACAGGAAGCAGTTCCTAACATCGCGTCCTGAACCTTTTGCTTAACTGAATAGTGCAGAAACGGGTATAAGAGGTGGCACTAAAAACAGCAGCAGCATGAGACACAAAGTATTTCAAACAACACATTCTGCCTTCTTCCCAAATTCCGGAAATGAATTCCTTCAACAGTGACAGGGAGCACAGGCAGTCTGCAAGTCATCAGCACACCGCTATTTTCCTTTTCACAAGATCTCTGGAAATCACTTTAGACCAAAATCCTTCTCCCCAATTAATTACCTTCTAGCCCTCTCTGATTCCTTAGCTAGAGACAAACATCACAAGTGCCAATTTCAGCAGTCCGTTATTTTCCCTCGTAAACTCTACCAAAGGTGTAAAGTGAAAGTGGTGAAAAGTGGGAAAGGAAATGGAAGGCAGACGCGACAGAGGACAGTGTAGGTATGTGCGGTGGGAGACATTATGGCCAGGAGACAAGGTGAAGAAGCGTGCCATCAAATTGAGGGCACAGTTGTCCAGAGAATTCGCTAAGAAGCACAAAAAAAGATAAAGGGGGCACAAGTAAAGAGAAGGAGAGAAATGAGGGACAAGGTGGGGCAACCAAGGAGAAAATATGGGTTGGGCAAGAGTTACAGAGCCAAGGCTAACGCCAGCATTTGGGGGTCAGCGAACGGAGGCGACCGGCAGCTGGGAACAGGGAATGGGGCGGGGGCGAAGATCAGGTTCAGAGACCGGGAGGGTGAGGAATCTAAGCCAGTACCAAGCTCAAGACTCTTACCGGTAGTTTGGGGCTGACCTCGCCCTTGCAAAAGTGGCAGAAAAATCGGTGGGCGGCTACAGCTTCCTCCTTCGCGTCCGCCCCAGCCGCCGAAGCCTCCGCCATTTTTCTCCTCCGCCACTGCTGTCCGAGAAGGCAGCCTCCCAGGCCGCTACCTCCCGGGCAGCGGTCGCTGCCTCCGCCTCCACCCCTCAGTGCGGCGGGCAGCTCCAGAGTCCGCGTCGGCCACGTGAGTAAGCCCGGCCCAAAGAGGCTACTGCACGGACCGCCACAACGCGGCCTGTCTTACCAGCACCACAGAACGTAGGACAGGAAAGTCGACCCGCCTCGGCCCGCCCGCCGGCAACTCAAATAGGCTCTCGCCAGTCCTCCAGCCTTCCAGCGAGAAGAAAGAGAGAGCGTCCCCGGAAGCCACCGAAACTCTGGGGTAGAGCGGCACACCGATTTCCTCTTCCGCTTCTGTCTAGCTAGCTATCTACTTCCGGGAAAGAGAGGTGGACTCTGTTTAGGCGCGGATGGTTAACCCGAGCCGCACGATATCTATGTGCTGAAGGCGGCAGCCGTAGGTTAGGAACCTTGGATTCTCCCTGACCCTGAGGTTAGTGGAAAATGACATCTGAACGAGGCGGCTCTGACTCGGCCAAAAGAGCACGTCCGCAACAGGAAACTACGTGAAGGGACTGAAGAGCCAGGAGACCGCGTCTTAGAAATCCTTTCCGAGAATGGCAGAGGGCCTAAAAATGCTTCTCCAAAAACAGTGGATGATTGAAATCGTCTCACTAATACCGAGTCAGGGGTTGGGGGGGGGGTCATAGAACTGGCATCTGCGAAATTGGCCGCAGCTTATGATAGGGGAATAGTCATTTAGTCACCTATATCAGTTTCTGTTTGTGTCTACATTAACAAGAAGTAAAATTTAAGAATTAAGTGTCGGAGCCGGGGATTTGGCTCAGCGGCATAAGTGACTACCGGGCAAACACGAGGTCGTGAGTGTAAGTTCGATCCCCGGTAGCAAAAAAAAAAAAAAGTGTCTACTAACAATGTAACTCATCTCGTGGTTGAAACACTTGAGAAAATTTTACCTCCTCGTGTCTTTTTCTAAATTGTCATTTCTTTATGGATCAGGAACAAAATTACCTGTTAACTAAGCAGTGAAAAGTGAGTGACCTGAATTCTATGTAGAAGCTAAGATCTGTAACATTACAGAATCAGTTATACCTAATTTTTTTTAAAATTAGAACTACATGTACTCATATAAAAATACATTTGATTTACAGATTTATAGTATTTTCCTATGCATGTGTAGTGATTTTTTTAAATTGAATTTTAGTCTACATTTTTCTTTGCAATTTGCTTCTATTACTTTTTTTCTTTGCTTTTTTTTTTTCTCGAGACAAGATCTGGTAATGCAAGAGGCATAATGGTAACCATTGTTGATCACCTAGTAATCCCTTTATTTTTTATTTTTTATTTATTTATTTTTCATTTTATGCTATGTCCATCCTCCTGATCTAAATGACTCTGTTTTGCTTTGTCACATTGGGTTTTTCTTTGGTCCGTCTTGCTTTGTTTTTTGGCCTTTTTTTTTTCAATCTTTTTTCTTTTCCTCTTCAAAGAAAAAGTTAAAAAAAAACTGTGGAAGTAATGGAAACTAAAATGCGCAATTGTTAGTGTAAAAAAGAGAGGAAGGAAAGTGATCTCAAGGATATAACTGCAATTTATTTAAATGTGTAGGAAAGAGAACCATATTGCTGAGTTTTTCTTGGATCATTGAACAGAACTGACTGCAATCTCACTGTATTAATCTCCACTTTGTATGCTTTAATTTTGTAATCTGGACAGCTGTTTGTAAGTTGACAATGTGTGATCTATTAACTGGTGAACTCTTACTGTATGTTTTTTCTCTTGAAATTCTGTGTTGCCTCTAGCCTTTTACTGTCTTGCTTCGTTTAGTTTTGTTTTTCTCTTTAAATAAAAAAATTTTAAAAAAAGACCTGGTAATGCAGTTCAGCCTGGCCTTGAACTCACTATGTGGCCCAACCTGGCTTCAAACTGACAGCAATCCTCCTGCCTCAGCCTCTTATGTACTGGGATTACAGGCTTATATCACTATGCTTGTCTTACTGTATGAATAATTTTTGTGTGTATCATACTAAATCATTTTAAATGCTGGCTTAGTGTATCTTATTCTACAGGTATACTGTAATTTATCATTAGCTATTAGGCGTTTCACTATGTCAGTACTGTAGTGTAGAGAACTAGTGCCGGGGATGGTACTGCATGCCTGTAGTTCCAGCACTTGCAAGACTGAGGCAAGAGGATCCCCTCAAGTTTGAGCCCAGCCTGGACAACATGGTGCAAGGCTAGTATGTCTCAGAAAACCAAAAAATAAATAGAACTAGTGTGATTTTTTGTTATTATCTTGAAATAGAGTGAAGTTGTTAAATATATGCAAGATGTTAATGCTTTTCATATGTATTGACAAATTACCTTCCAGAAAAAATACACAAATTTACAGTCAGATGTGATGTGAACACACCTGTAATTCCAGCACTTTGTAGCCTGAAGCAGGAGGATCTCCGCAAGTTCAAAGCCAGCCTGAACTATGTAATGAGACCTTGTCTCAAAAACGCAAACTAAAGCAAATTTCCACTCTTTTTTTTTTTTTTTCTAGTTTTGAGACTTCCAAGTATAATGACTCAAGCTGAAATTAAACTGTGTTCTCTGTTGCTACAAGAGCATTTTGGAGAGATTGTAGAAAAAATTGGAGTGCACCTGATCAAAACTGGCAGCCAGCCACTCAGAGTGATTGTCCATGACACAGGAACATCACTGGATCAGGTATGTTTAGATAATATCAGCTTGTTCTCTTTAATTTGTTTCATTAATTTTTCTTACCTACCTCTGAATATTGTTACTAGAAAGTTGCAAAGAAGCATGAGTACATGCCTAGCAAGCACTAGGTCCTGAGTTCAATCCCCAATACCAAAAATTAAAAAAAAGACGCTTCTTAGTAAATTTTTGCTCTTCCTCTGCCATACCTCATTCATTCACAATAAGTATACTAATCTTTTTTTTTTTTTTTTTCCCTTTTTTCCTTTTTATCGGTACCGGGGATCGAACTCACGACTGCCTGCTTGCAAGGGAGACGCTTATGCCGCTGAGCTAAATCCCCGGCCCCATGTATACTAATCTTAGTATCACCTTTAAGTAATGAGAATGACAGACAGAAAGAAATTGTGATATGAAAATAAAGATCAGAGGAAATATGAACATCATTGTAAGGAATCTTCCTTGATTTTGTCCATGAATGTTTGATTCTTATCAGTTCCAATAGAAAAGAACAGAAATTCTTGTTTAGCCATTCCCTGATGCTTACTAAACTGTTGGATAAAAAAATTGCCAGCTAAATTGCCAGGTCTTTTCTGTCCTTTTGGGTCCTATCTAGGTGAAAAAGGCACTTTGTGTCCTTATCCAGCATAACCTGGTGATATATCAAGTGCATAAGCGTGGTGTGGTTGAGTATGAAGCCCAGTGCAGCCGTGTGTTACGCATGCTTAGGTTTCCCCGGTACATCTATACTACCAAAGCACTTTATGGTGACACTGGAGAGTTGATTGTTGAGGAGCTACTGTTGAATGGCAAAATGACAATGTCAGCTGTTGTGAAGAAAGTAGCAGACCGACTCACAGACACCATGGAAGGTCAGTACTATATCTACAGCTGTTAGCAAAAGCATAGTTTGACTGGCTACAGGATTAGACTCTGCCATCCTAGCCTATCTCACCTGATGTTTCCTCCTGTTCCACAGATGGCAAGACAATGGATTATGCTGAGGTATCGAACACTTTTGTGCAACTGGCAGACACACGCTTTGTACAGCGTTGCCCCATGGTGCATGCCCCTGAGAATTCAGATACCGGACCTCCACCGCCTGCCCCTAGCCTTGTTGTTAATGAAAAGGACATGTACCTGGTTCCTAAACTGAGCTTGATAGGTATGAGATTTTGACCCTGTGATTGTCATTGCTCTAATTGTAGATTTTTCTTCATTCATTGTTAAATGAATGAATCAGTTGACTATTAACCAAGTAATTGCTGTATGCCATACATTGTGGTATATTGTAATGAAAAAACCACGATCCCAGACCTTTTGAAGCATAGGTCTAAGTATGGAAAATACACCACATTAACTAGCCATGTAGATATACTGACATGTATATCTGTGTTAAGTACCGTATTGGAGAGATATGAGGTGTGGAGGTTACAAAAAATACAATGAGAGACTTAATTTATGTAGGGTGTTGTTATACAGGGGGTTATATACATGTTTCTTTGAAAAAGTGGCATTGGAACTAAAATATGAAACAAAAGGAGTTACGTAATGAGGTAATAGAGGATAAGCATTTTTGGCAGAGGAAATAGTATACTGTGAGGGAAGAATGGCATTCAAGGACAGGAAAAGTCATCCTTGGCCAAATCCAGGTGAGCAAACTAGAGCGAAAACAAGATAAGGGAGACAGGCAGGGGATAGATCACAAGACCTTATACAGCTTTTTGTTTTTCTTTTTTTGGGAATAGAACTCAGGACCTCACACTTGCCAGTAGACACTATACTATTAAGCTATATCCCCGGCCCCTAGAACATCTATTTTTTACCTTAAGAGAAAAGGAAAACTACTGAAAGAATGTAAGCTTGGCACTGGGCGTGATGGTGCAATGCCTGTAATCCCAGTGCTCAGGAGGCAGGAGGATTGCCACAAATTTGAGGCCAGCCTGGACTATATAGCAAGACCCTGTACCAAAAAAAAAAAAAAAAGTGTAGACTTGAAAGTGTCATGATCTAGTTTACTTTTTGATCCTCCTGCTTCAGCATCCCAGAGTGCTGGGATTATAGGCCTGTGCCACACTCCTGGCTTACTTTACATTTTTAGAGGATTTTTTTCTTTCTACAGAAAAGAGGAGGTGTGGAGCACCACTTGGATGACTCTCCTTGAACAAAGAGCAGTTACTTCCACTTTGGCTAAACATTATATCTCCGTGTAATGATGTGCACCGAGCTGGCTAAGGCATTTCCTTTTCCTTTCAATTGGGACAAAGCAATGTAAATCAGACTAGCTGAGGTGTTGATGTGTAATCTTTTAAATTAGACAACAGTTGCTGTTTCCCAGACAGGTGACTCCCAAAACAAGATTGAGCTAATGGAGCTCTAGGGCTATCAACTGGGTTGAGCCTTGAGATTAAAACGCTATGACTTCCTAGGGCAGAAAAGTTTTCACAGCAGAGTTAATGCACCACCCTCAAGCATTAAATGCTATCTCAATTGAATTATGCAGATCAGTCTTTTTGCATATCCTTTTGGCATAATGCAGAATGCTTTTAGGCCTCCTATATAACTCAGCTCACAGTACTCACATATTTCCCACAGTTCTGTTACTCATCCTCAAGCCACTTCCTCTTTCACGAATTAATAAAAATCTCGATTAGGCCCAGGGTCAAGGCCTTTGTTCCAGTGAACCTTCATCCTGGCCAGACTTAGGACCCCTTGGGTCCCCATAATTATAAATATGTCTTAGTGTCTTTATTGTCACTGTGGGTTACACTGGAAGTGGTAGATTGGAATTAACTCACTAGAATTCCAATAACTTTTCCATTGGATTATAAATATAAACTTCCTGGGCCATGATAAATATGGGAAGGGCTCTCTATAACAAGGAAGCCAAGTGTGGTAGCATATTCCTCTAATTCCAGCACTCTGTAGGCTGAAGTTGGAGGATCACTGAGAGTTCGAGGCTAGCCTGGACTACATAGTTAAGACCAGTTTGAATTACACAGCAAGGGGCTGGGGATTTAGCTCAGCGGCATAAGCGCCTGCTTTGCAAGAGCGCAGTCTTGATTCCATTCCCGGTACCGATTAAAAAAAAAAAAAATTAATTACACAGCAAGACCCTGTCTTAAAAAGAAAAAAAAAATGGGGGGAGGTTGCAAAGGTAAATGTATATAAATTAATGAAAAAATAGATATAAGTAGTGGTAAGAGGGTTATCAGAAATTACATCTGACTTGCACATGTCAAAGGATAATGGTGCCATTCACTAAGAGGAACCATTGAAGGAGGACCAGTTTGAGAAAAAAAGATAAATTTCTTTTTGAAAATACTGAACTTCAGCCAGAGTTAGTGGCACACACCTGAATCCCAGCACTTTGGAGGCTGAAGCAGGAGAATCACTGCAAGTTCAAGGTCAGTCTAGGCTACAAAGTGAGTTCAAAGACTGCCTGAATTGCATGGCAAGACCCTATCTCAAAAAGACAAAATAAAATAAAAACTGAACATACTGGATTTCAGATGACATCATTGATTTAAGCTCTTTGTCACTCATCAGTCTTCTAAACAATTCTAAATTATAAATTAACTACAAGCATCTTTCGTCAGGTTTGGTAATTTCCTGTCATCATAGGATTTGTAGCTCACCTGTTGGTTTATTTGTCAGGGAAAGGTAAAAGGAGAAGATCATCTGATGAAGATGCTGCCGATGAGCCTAAGGCCAAGAAACCAAAACGCACCACAGATAACAAAGAGGTAATGGGGCTTCTTGATAAGGAAACCTCACCTTGAAGCAGGCCAGAAAGAGTACTCAGATAATCACTGCCAAAGAAACTTAGAGGTTCTTGAGCTAAGAAAAAGTAAGATTATGAACTTCATTAAATAATGGCCAGGAGTAGACCAGTGAGAAGGTAGCTTCATAGCTGTCTCCCTTCTGAGGCCTAACTTATTTTATGCATTGAACAGAGGTAGCAGATCATGCAAAAAGAAGGCCTAGAAAAGTCTAAGTCATTATCAATAATGAGCAATGAATCCAGAAAGATACACTTAGGGGCTGGGGATTTAGCTCAGCAGCATAAGCACCTGCCTTGAAAGCAGGCAGTCGTGAGTTTGATCCCCGGTACCGATTAAAAAAAAAAAGGAAAAAGACAGAAAGATACACTTAGGCCTGAACTCCTATATTCCAGTGCCTTCTTGCTGTCCCATAAAGTTGTTTAGTAAGCATCCAGTACCAAAGTTAGAACGGCCAAAATAAAAGGATTCCTGCCTTCTAATTATCTGGTCTCTCTTAAGCTTCTTAATCTTAATGAAAGATGCCATTGCCTAGGACATCATATCACTTGCTTATACCAAAATCCTTACAATGCTCCAGTCTCACAGTAATATCTATCAGCCTAATTTATCTCAAATCTAACCATTTCTCATCTTTTCCACTGCTGTCTCCCTAGTCTAAAACACTATCAACTCTTGTCAGCCAACACCAGTACTCTTCTAAACACTCTTACCCACTTAGCCACTTAGCAGCCAAGATCCTTTTCTGGTTGTTTAAAAAAAAAAAAAAAATCATTTGGGCAAAGAAAGTAGATTGGTGGAGTGGTAGAATACTTGCTTATCATGTATGAGATCATAGGTCTGATCCCTAGCACTGGGGGAAAAAAAAGAAAAAACCTATTAATTGGATTCTTTTTGGTTTTTTTTCTTAAACTTAGGACCTCATGTTTGCCAGGCAGGTGCTGTACTTCTGACCCGTATCTCCAACTAGATTTCTTTAATAGCTTCCTCTTGCTCTTAGAAGAAATCCAAGCTATGGACTATTGAGCCTTTCATCATCTAGGTCAGTGATGGCAAAACTTTTAGAGACAAGTACCCAAAGTGCAACCTCAAAATCATTTATTTATAGCAAAATGCCAGCATTGAAATAACTTGAATACCAAGGTTTTAGTTTAGGGAAAAATGATTCATACATTACCACCTTTTGTTTTAAAAGAAAAACACAGTGACACACATGCAGTAGGTTCGCCACCGTTGATCTAGGTTGATATGTGTGATCTTCTGAAATAAACCAAATCTTCCCGTTCTCCCTCTTGCTCATTATGTTCTATCCACTGTCTTTCTTTCTCAAACGTGTCATTGCCTTTATTATGCCTTCTACTTTAAATATTTTTCGTATATCTTCATGTAGTTGCTTTTTGATCATTCAGCTTCACTAATGCTAAATGCTATTTCGTAAGAGCTCAAACATGATTGGCCACCTACTTAAGTCTGTACACATTTCTCTATTTCATCTTCCATGTAGCATCCATATTCATAGCTGAAATTATGTATTTTTGTACATTTGTCTTTTTCCTCTAGTTAAACTTGAGAGCAACATCCTGTCTTGCCACCTGAAAACTAGCAGGATCTCAGCAAATATTTTCTTTTTCTTTTTGTTTGTTGATTTTTAAAGCACAGTCTCACTTTGTAGCCCAAGCTGCCCTCAAACTCACAATCTTCCTGCTTTAACCTCCTGAGTACTAGGATTACAGGGGTACATTATCATGTCCAGCTTCAGCAAATATTTCTCAATTAACTAAGCACTAGTTAATTGGATTTCATCCTGAAAGCACTGGGGAGTTAACTGATTTTAAGCAGGAGAATGAGGCGATTGAGTTTATACTTCAGACAGATTACTATAGTTCATAATTTGGACAGCTCTGTAGATGGATTGCAAAGTCCATTTGTATATGTGTTCATGTGCATTGTACAGTGAAGCACTCCTTAGCTCTCTTCAAATTTTTGACCCAAAAAGGTCAAAAAGCACTATTCTGTGAGAAATGGAAGCTGGGAATATGGCTCAGTGGCACAGCACCTGCCTGAAAAGCAGGAGTCCTGAGTTCAATTTTAATACCAAAAAAAATTGCTTTTAAATTACTTTAAGAAATTAGAAGGATTCAAAAGCAAAATTAGAAAAATACAATCATTCCTTTTATAGTGTCTATTACTTTAAGGGGGAAAAAAATAAAAACCAGTTAAGAACCTGTTGGTGCCTGGCCAGCACAAGGTCATAAGTTTGATCCCCAGCACAAAGAAAAAGAACCCATTGTTGTAATCCACTTAAATCATGATTAGAGCCTAAAATAGTGATATGGTAAAGAAAGCCAAAGCTGGGTATGATTGTACAATCCTGTAACCCCAGCACTTGGGAACATTATGAGATCAAGGACAGCCTATATGAGACCATCTCCAAAAAAAAATAGTAGACATCTCTGGGGTAACACATAAAGCCAGGTATTAATTACCTTGATCTGATCATTATACATCTTATACATGTATTAAAATATTACACTGTAGCCAGACATGGTGTTACATGCCTGTGGTCCCACCACTTGGAAGGCAGAGGCAAGAGGATCACCATAAGTTTCAGACCAGCCTGGGATACATAATGAGTGATGCCCCATCTCAGAAACCTCCCCCCCAAAAGAAATACCACACTGTACGCATAAATACATATAGTTGGCTGTTGAGATATTTATATGTGTGTGTGTGTGTATATATATATATATATATATATATACATGAATGTGGCTAGACATGATGGTGCCTGCCTATAATCCTGGCTACTCCAAAGAATGAAGCAGGAGAACCATAAATTTAAGACCCTGTCTCAAAATAAAAATATCTGAGGACGATGTAGCTTAGTGATTGAACCCTTTCCTATCATAAAAACGCTGTGTTCAATCTTCCATATTGCAAAAAAAAAAAAAGTAACACTAAGAAAATATGATGTCATAATATCCAATAAGCAACAAGCCACATAACTTTATGTCAGAAAAAATATCCAGCTGTGTCATATGCTTTTAAACAGTCAAGATCAGAACTGGAAAGTATTCTTCATTCTTTGACTTTAGCAATAAGGAAGTCCTCAAGAACAGTAGTGGAATTTCACTGGAATGACAGTAACAATTGACATTTCAGTACAATTGTGGAAATTGGTGAGTAGACCTGGATGAGGTAACTAAGGATGGCCATCTCTCTGAGAAGCTTAGCTATGACAAAGGAAGATGAGCGAGGTATAGGGTCAAAGGAAAATTCTAGAATAAAAGATACTTAAACAAGAAAGGCTGATGAGAAAGAAAAATTAAAGATTTGCAGGACAGGAGGGAAAATTGAGCTAGAGCTCTGAGGATGAAAAGGCAAGATTTTCTCTATGAAATCAGGCAAGGGCATCTGCTGAGAGTAAAAAGAAAGGGGTCAGGCAAGAGACTAGATGTTGTAGAAAAACTCTTTGAAATTGGAATTTATCAAGATACTGATCTATATGAGTGAACTATCTTTTTCCTGGACCAATTTAGTTGCTCTGTATAAGAAAAGAAATTGGGGCTGGGGATTTAGCTCAGCAGCATAAGCACCTGCCTTGCAAGCAGGCAATCATGAGTTCAATCCTCGGTACCGCTTAAAAAAAAAAGTCGGGCGTGGTGGCTCACACCTGTAATCCCAACACTTGGGAGGCTGAGGTGGGAGGAGCGTTGTAAGTTCAAGACCCACCTGGGCTACAAAGTGAGCTCAAGGCCAGCCTAAACTGCATAGCGAGACCCCATCTCAAAAAAAAAAGTGTCAGAAAAGAAACGGTAAACCATTAAATTAGCTCCTCACCAGAAAACTTCACTGTATTTAAATGTTTCTGTAATACTTTTCTTTAGCCCACTCCAGACGATGGTATTTATTGGCAGACCAACCTTGACAGGTTCCATCAACACTTCCGTGATCAAGCCATTGTGAATGCAGTTGCAAACAGGATGGACCAGGTAATATTTCATTGGGTTTGTCAGTGATCATCAGGAAATGAAAACATTCAGTTTGCTGCCAGTGTAGCTATGTAGCTATTGGCAAGGGCTAAAGACAGCACAGTGAATTCTGAATTCCTGTTTACTTTTTAACCCCAGACAAGCAGCGAGATCGTGAGGGCCATGCTTCGGATGAGTGAGGTTACTACTTCCTCTGATGCCCCCTTCACTCAGCCATTATCTTCCAATGAGGTGAGTTTCATGCTAGCTTTCTAACACATTCTTGAGTATTATAACAATTTTTTATGCCTGGATTAGGTTGAGGCCTAAACTTTTAGAAAAAGGAATTTTGTTGTTTCAGGTGGGGCAAGGATTATCTTCAAGTGGTTAGTACAGAATGTTCTGTTTCTTAGGATCCAGCTTTTTAAAACTACACAGTCAGATGCAAGGGTACAAACCTGTGATCCCAGCACTCTGGGAACATGAGGCCAGACATTAAAGGTTCAAATCCAGCCTGGGCAACTGAGACCCTATCTCAAAAATCAGAAATAATAAAGGGCTAGGAATGTAGTTCAGTGCAAAGCATCTCAGTTCAATCTCTGATTTCATATATATATATATTTTTTTTTTTTTTTTTTTTTTTTGGTTGTTTCTTTGTTTTTTGATGTAGGGTCTCCCTATGTAGTTTAGACTGGCCTTGAACTCACTATGTAACGTCAAACTTACAACAATCCTCCTGCCTCAACCTCCCAAGTGCTGGGGTTACAGCCATGCACCACCACACCTGGCCTAAATTTTTTTAATTTACTATGTAACAAGGTAAATACAAAGTTTTTTCTGATGACAGAAGTAGTTTTGTGACCCATATTCAAACAGCAATGAAATGTGCAATTTTAGTTCTAATTCCTTACAGTTCCTGAAAGTACATTTTCAGGAGTGATAGAGACGTTCTTTGTCTTCTTGTGGCTGGTTAGATACACAGATCTATATAATTGTCAATACCCATGAAACCAAACCCTTAAAATAATGTGCTTTTTATTTTTTGTAACATACTTTAAAATATACATAATTTTGCATAATCCTAGTCCAAGAGATCCTTGTCAGGAGATCGGTATAGATCTTTATTCAGACCTTTTTTTACATATGGGCTAACATGTGTATATGTATTTTTTACCCCAGAATGAGACTGTACTCTATATATTATACTATAACTTGTTTTTACTTTTGTTTTGAGGTGCTGGGAATCAAACCCATGATCTCACATATACCAGGCAAGCACTGTATTGCTGAGCTACATCCCCTGTCCTATAACTTCTTTTAGGTAACAATATCTTTTCATGTCAGTATTCATAGATCTCATTCTTTATAAAGACAATATCATATTTCACTTAATAGCCAGACTGTAGTTTAATTGATTCCTTATCACTGGTCATTTAGATTATTTCTTACTTTTTGCCTTTAAAAACAATGCCAGTATGAATACTTTTGGATATTTGATATCTAAAATTAAAATGTCTAACTGGGCATTTGAGTGATCCTGTAATCCTAGCATTTGAGAGGTTGAGGTAAGCAGATCAAAGTGAGATTAAGCTACATAGTGGATTCAAGGTCAGTCTGAACTGCATTGTGAGACCCTGTCCCAAAAAAATAAATAAAATTAAAATGTTTTATTTACATGGGCATATATACCTGAAATCCAGCTTCTTAGGAGGTGGAGTCAGGAGGATTCCAAATTCAAAACCAGTCAGGGCAACTTAGTGAAACTTTGTTTGTTCAAAAAAAAATAAAAAACAACTAAGGATATAGTTACACCTCAGTAGCAGAGCACTTGCGTACCACATGTGAGACTCTGGGTTCAATCCCCATAACTACCAAAAAAAATTATTTTAATACGAGTAATTCTAAATTCTGTTTTGTTTCTGTTTTTGTTTTTTGATACTGGCGATTGAACTCACAACCTTGCACTTGCCAGGCAGGCACTTGTGCCGATGAGCTAAATCCCTGGCCAGCAATTCTAAATTCTTAAGACCATTTTCTACATCTGCTTTGCTTCCTAGATCTTCAGATCGCTACCCGTTGGCTATAACATCTCCAAGCAAGTGCTTGACCAGTATCTCACTCTGCTTGCAGATGACCCAGTAAGTCTATTTACCTGGGGCTATTTTCTCTGCTGTGTTTTCAATTTACTTCTGCCTAATATCAGTCTCCTACAGCCTCACTGTCTACCAAACCAATTCAGACAATTTCCTTACCATCATCTAATAGGAGGGTTACACATTACAGACCCTTGGCAGATTTACTCCATTGGAAACAGAATCACTGGACTTTTCATTCAGTTAATGCTCTGTCTCTTTCTTTTTAATAGCTAGAGTTTGTTGGAAAATCTGGCGACAGTGGTGGAGGAATGTATGTCATCAGTATCCTTACCTTACCCTGACTATCCATACAGTCAGGCAGCTTGAGCTGTGAAGCAGAATGGTGTCTTATAAAATAAAGATTTGGTAATAGTATACTAACTCAATATATTGAAGAAATTTCCTATTATTTCTGTGAGTCTTCAATAAATCACATTAATGGTAAACAAAGACTTTTAATCAACCAGAATCACCTTTACTTACCTACCTTCATTAACTAGAATTTTAAGATATTTATGTACAGCTGGGCATGATGGCTCACGCCCATAATCCCAGCACTCGGGAGGCTGAGGTGGGAGGATTGTTTCGAGTTCGAGACCAGCCTGGGCTACAAAGTGAGCTCAAAGCCAGCCTGAACTGCATAGGGAGACCCTGTCTCAAAAAAAGACCAAAAAAAAAAAAGATATTTATGTACCATAAATTAATGTGAAAAATGAAATAACATTTAAATTTTAATGAGAAATTAGGAATTTTAGACTAAAACTAAGGTCAGAGCAGTCAGGCCAAAATATTACTAAATGACCTTAATCTTCTACATAAAGACTTCCATAAAGCATTAGCATCTCTAGCCACAGCCACTCTGGAGTCTGTCATACAGGAGAGGTAAGGCGGGCATCTGAATTGGGATTAGGGTCAGACACTTCCTATCCACCCCCCATTTGATCCTTATGTAAGCAACCATTATAGGCACACTACCGCATACCTTACCCCATTTTTCCACTGGACTGCTATGGATACTATCTGCTCCTATTCTTCATTCTACTGCTCAATTCCCAGTGATGCAAATTAGTGAGCTCCCTAAAACCTTGTACTGCAAGAGCTGTGGCACTTATGATTAATAATACAGTTACCAATGTGTGGGGCTGAGAGTTCTCTGGTTGCTGTTCCTCTGGTCCAGGCTCCACACATGGACAGCTTTCCCCTCGGGCTAAAAGCAAAAGCTAATCTATATTGGCCACTTGCTGTCTTCATTTCTTTCCAGATTTGGATCTCGATGTGCCAGAATATTCCGTCTGGTTTTGCAAAAGAAACATCTAGAGCAGAAGCAAGTGGAGGACTTTGCAATGATTCCTGCAAAGGAGGCAAAGGATATGCTATATAAGATGCTCTCAGAAAACTTCATATCACTCCAGGTAAACAGTGGTGTATAATTGCTGACCAGCAAAACTGGTGAGAGAAGCTCCTGAGATTCTCAGGCAAACTCTGTAGCTGTGAGACAGAGGTATTAACAAAGATGGGCCTGGGATTTAGTTCAGTGGCAGAAGCACCTTTCTGGCAAGCCAAGGTTGTGAATTTGATCCCGGTACCAAAAAGAAAGGCACAGCAAATACTGGAAGGGAAATGTGGAGCTTTAACTGGCCCATAAGAAATAGAGACAGCAGGGGGCTGGGGATTTAGCTCAGCGGCATAAGCGCCTGCGTTGCAAGCAGGCAGTGGTGAGTTCGATCCCTGGTACTTAAAAGGAAAAGGAAAAAGACCAAAAAAAAAAAAAAAAAACCTTAAAAAAAAAAAAAGAAATAGAGACAGCCAAGAAATTGGCTAAAAGCCATCTTGCCCCTTCTTCTCCTATTGTCCTGTCCTTTCCTCAAGATTTTGAAATCTGTACCAAATTATATCTAGTCATAGTCCCTAGTGGGTCTGTAGCTCCATGTAGTAAGGAAAGAGGCAGAATGGATTACTGAGTCAAATCATAGCTCTGCCTCTTACCTGGCCACACTGAGCAAGTCATTTTCCCCATATATAAAATGGTGACAGACCTAGAAGTTGTGGTACATGCCTGTAATCTTAGCATGTGGGAGGCTGAGGCAGGAGGATCACCATGAGTTCAAGGCCAGCCTGTACTACATAAGCAAGTTCAAACCCAGCCTACACTACACAGCGAGACCATCTCAAAAAAAAAAAATAATAATAAAATAAAAATGGTGATACGTGGTAGTAATAATAATGTACTGTAGTTTGTTGTAATGATCTACCTGTCTTCATAGCATTTCCTCATTAAATATTAGTTGTGTCCTCTTTCTTTCCCACTTGGAAAGTATTAGAGAAAAGGTTGAGTATCTCTGAATGTGGTGGAGGTTTACTTTGCCAATTCTAAAGAGCAATGAAATTTCTCTTTTCTTTCTATGGAAAATAGGAAATTCCAAAAACACCAGACCATGCTCCATCCAGGACCTTCTATTTATATACTGTGAATGTCCTATCAGCTGCACGAATGTTGTTACACAGGTGCTACAAGGTAATCCCATGTAGACCCTCTCCCCATTTCCTCCACACAAAGGGCTGTCTCCTGTATGCTTACTTTACCCATTGTACCTGAGCTGCTAAAATACAACTGTGTGCATTTCTAGTCTTCTCTTTCCTCAGAGTGTAACCAACTTGATAGAAAGGCGGCAGTTTGAAACCAAAGAAAACAAGTAAGATTTTCAGTTGAATCTTCAGATTTTTCAAGGTCAAGGGTTTGAGGAAGAATTTTCTATAGAAATGAAGACAGCTCCTCACACATGGTGTATACCACCGTGCCTACTCCTTGAATACAGTATTTTAAGGACCAGTCGAGTTCCACTGAGTCATCATCGTCTTTAGTTGGCATAAATCATGCATTAATCTATACTTTCCCAATATACTCCTAATAAAATAATTTTGCAGATTCAATTTATAAGAAAACTTCAAACTCAGGAATTGTTATATTCCCAATTAAATTTATAGAAAATGTCCTTAGGCAATGATATGATTCACCTGGGCCAGAAATATGGTAATGGGGGAAGTTGTGTCTCAGATAAAGGGTAAGAGGATCTTAAAATTAGGGAATATGTCTCAGAGTTGTGTTTGTCTAATAGGCGTCTACTCGAAAAGTCTCAGAGGGTAGAAGCCATCATTGCATCTGTGCAAGCTACAGGTGCAGAGGAAGCACAGTTGCAAGAAATAGAGGAGATGATCACAGCCCCTGAGCGTCAGCAGCTAGAGACCTTGAAGCGTAACGTCAACAAGTAAGCTTAATTTGAGACCTATATTTCAAAATACCTTCTGCAACCCCTCCAACCAACACAAGTGTATCTATAATTGTGTTAAGTGGAGAGTGACCAAAGCATTAAGCTGTCTTCTTTCCCAGCTCAGTTAAAGAATTTAATCTGCCTGTTTTGATAAGTGCAAGGTCTTGAGTTTGATTCCCAGTACAAAAAAATAAATAAAATCTGGCCTTTCACCTTGGCTTCCATACAGGCCTTCATCATGTGTTTCCTAGACCTTCACAATGAGCCCCCCCCCAACTATTTCTCAGAATACTTGCAAAAGTATTATCTTTAAAATGATTGGTAACATCACTGTCCTACTTCAGGTGATTTATTCCTTATGTGTACAGCATAAAGACTAGACTTACTGGCATGACAGCCAGCCTCTGTCTTCATTTCCTTTCCTTCCTCACCACTCACCTTTATGGAAATTGCATTGAATCTGTTAATTGCTTTGGAGAATACTGTCAACTTAACAGCCTTTCTTCCTGTGAATGACAACTCTTTCTATTTATTTAGGCCTTTAATTTCTTTCAGCAGTATTTAACTGCTTTCTTGTACTAGAACTGTAACTTTTTTGTTAATTTTGTTTTAAATAAAAGTGTTTTCTTACTTCATTTTTAGGTCATTCCCTGCTAGTGTATTGAAAAACAGATTTTTGTGTTTTGATTTTATATCCTGCAACTTTGTGTATTTATTTATTCTAGTGGTTTGAGGGGAATTCTTTGTTATATATATACATTTGTGTCATCTCTGAACAGAGAAAGCTTCACAACTTCATTTGTAGTCCAGCTGCCTTTTCTTGCCACGTTGCCCAGATAAAACCTCCAAGATAAGGTGGAATGGAAAGAGCAGACAACCTTGCCTCACAGGAGCTTTCAGTCTCTCATCTTAAGTCTGATGTTAGCTGTGGTCTTTTCTGAGATAGCTTTTATCAGTTCCAAGATGTTCCTTTCTCTTCCTAATAACCACTTGCTTAAAACTTTGGTCACACTTAGCTTTTCACAATTTTAAAACACACTGAGACCTTTTACTAGGTTTTTACGCAGACTATCTTTCCTCTTGGTTGTAAGTTATACTGTAACCTCCCCCAGCACAGAAGCCCTGTCTTCTGCATGCTCAGCAACTTTCGTAGTGCCGAATGTACAAAAGATGCTCAGTAAATGAGAAAATGAACCATTGGTTCTCCTGCTTCCCACCATTACTCAAAAGTAACCAAGCAGCTCTCGATAACCACACCCACCCCAACCTCTACTCTAATGCAGTAATGATTCAATCTACTGTAAGCAAATGCTTTCACTTTTTCAGGTTGGATGCCAGTGAGATCCAGGTAGATGAAACCATCTTCCTGCTGGAGTCATACATTGAGAGCACCATGAAGAAACAGTGACCCAGAAGCATCTTCCTCAGAATACCTGAGGGACAGAAAGACAAAGGAGGTGCCCCAATACATTCTCTGCAGTGAGAGAAGTTTCAGGTTCTTGTTGTGAAACTCTCTAACCTTACTGCTCAGTATCCACCTGAGAGTTTGAAACAGCGTGGTAGTACATGCATATGATCCCAGCACTCTTAAAAAGCTATGGCAGGAGGATCACAAGTTTGTACCCTGGTAGGCAGCTTTCTAACCTATGAGACCCTGTCTCAAAATATAAAAAGGATAAAAAAGCTGGGAGTGTAGCTCTGTGAAAGTCCTGTGTTGAATCTCCAATACCACAAGAAGAGAGAGAAAAAAAATTTTGGCTTTTTCTTTTTTGGGGGGGGGCACTACTTGAGATTCACTGTGCTCTACCACTAAGCTGTATTCACAGCCTCTCAGATAAGGCTCACTATTCCTTTTTTTTTTTTTTTGTCTTTTTCGTTTTAATCGGTACCAGGAATCGAACTCACAACTGCCTGCTTACAAGGCAGGCGCTTATGCCGCTGAGCTAAATCCCCAGCCCCAAGGCTCACTATTCTTGAAATCATCCTCCTGCCTTAGCCTCCTAGTGATGAGATTATGAGTATGCACAACTATGCCTACCTCTTTGTATTTTGAGACCTGTGTGTTGGTAAGTTGCTCGTGCTGACCTCAAACTTGGAGGAGTCCTCTTGCCTCAGCATCACAAGTAGCTGAGATTAAGAGTTTACCATTTTTTTTAAGTTGGTTGATTCTGGGTTAGGCCTACATCTAGAGTATTTTCCTCTCACCAAATTGTGGCAATGGGAAGAACCTTAAATCGATGAGACACATCTGTTCTCCTCAGTCAACCAGGCTTTATTGGAACATCCCTCACAGTAGAAAACTTGTTCTTAAGCTGTCAGTCAGTTCCATTTTCAAGTCTGTGCCTGTTCTTTATTTTTGCTGAACTGTGGTGTTTTCACACACACACACACACACACACACACACACACACACACACAGAGTGAGAAATGTAAGACTGCTGTGGAAAAGGGAGAAAACTGATTCTCAGGAGTAGGAGGTGGATTGGCTGAACAGTCACAGTGGAATCTGTGGATAGAAGACACATCTGCCAGTTCCAGGCTTCTACACACCTGAACTCACATATGTAGAATATTTAACACAGTGTCCGACATACAAGCACTCAATGAACTACTGATTTCCTCATCTCTACTATTGCCTTAAAAGTGGCAATTCCGCATTTTCTTTCAAGATCATGGATATAGTTTTTCCCAGCAGGTTCAATTCATTTAAAGCAGTTAGGTGTTGTTCAGTTCCCTCATACCAAATTCGTTGCAATTCTTTAAACACTTGAGTGTCAAGTAACTGTCACCATACTGAAACACAATACACAGCTGGGGATTTAGCTCAGCGGCACAAGCGCCTGCCTTGCAAGCGATGCATTTGTGAGTTGGATCACAATACACAAAATAAGTGAGAGGCCAACTCTACCCTTAAACCATGTGCTATCATTGAGTCAGGACCTATTATGTATCAAATACTATGCCAGCTCTTGGGGATCCAAAGATGAATATGCCTTGAGCATACAACCTAAAGAAAAGATGGAAGCACAAGTATTACGCAGCTATAGTGGAAGAGTAAGTACTAGGTTCAGAGAGGCAGGAAAGAAAAAGAATCCACAAAGAAAGGATAAAAGTGCCCAAGCTGTGCCTGGTGACTCAGACCTCTAATCCCAGCACTGTAGAAGCTGAGGCAAGAGGATCATGAGTTCAAGACCAGCTTGAACTACTTATCAAGACCCTGTCTGAAAAACGACAGTTTGGCCAGTAATACAGCTCAGTGGGAGGCACAACACCTACCTGGAAAGCACAAGGTTGTGAGTTCAATTTCCAGTACAAAATAAGACAATCTATAATTTGAAAAAAGAGGATCTTTGAGAGGAAAGGGGAAAAGAATCCCAGAAGCGAACAGCTTGACTCTTGGGACAACTACAAATAGTGTTCAACTAAAAATTAGGGTAAGGGCCTTTCCAGAATCGAGGCTAGAGAAACAGACAGCAAGGCCTTGGCCACAATTTGCTAGGGAGGTTACCTTATTCTAAGCAATGAGGAGTGGGACTGACACAATCTGCAAAAGCAGATGTATACCTAAAGTGACAGCACTTCCCTGAATTGGCAGGGGCAGGGCTATCAAGACTTATAAACATGAGAAAGCCTTGAACAAGAGCAATGGAGACTGAAATCAGGCAGGATTTGAGAAAGTTCTAAGGTTTAAATCTTCAACAGTTGTGTGCCTTTTGAGACAAAAGAGGTCTGGTGTGTTAAATTAATGGTCAACTTGGAACACCCAGCTGAACTGAATCAGCATGGTGCTGGGTGTAGAAGGCCCATCTGATCATTGTTACCAACACCATAAAAGCAGAACTGGACGGAAAGATGATGTGCTGTTGATTCTCCTGAAGAAGCTTGTGCTGGTTTTCCTCATACAAAACATGACTGCTCTCGGAGGAGCTCTAGTCCTTGCTGTCAATGAGGATGGCTGCAGTCTCTTTGAGGGCGCTCTGGTCCTTACTTTGATCATCACTTCCGGCTTCTAGTGAAGATCCCTCAACCTGCTGGTGCAGATCTTTCATCCTGCTGGTGCAGACCCTCTGGCTTCTACCACTGACCTTTGGGCCTTCCGGATGCAGATGCTTGACACAGACTTGTATGAGACGTTGTCATGGGCCCTAGGCTTTCAGCTGCACTCATGCAGGACATTGCCATGGGATCCAGGCCTTCAGCTGGATTCTTTAAGTCTCTAAAGAACAGAACTCCTGACCTCCACATTTGACTTCTTGGGTGAATATTATAAAGTAAGCCTATAAATTATGTGTCCTGTATAACATCAGTTCCCTTTCAAACCCTGACTACAACACAGCATCAGAGATGCCTTTTGGGTGTCTGGCTTGGAAACATGTAATTAACTAATTACGATTCTGCAGTTAAGAGGTATGCAGAGTACTGTGGCCTGGAGGTGCTTAGAGTTCAGCCCAGAACTAGTAGGTGAGGTTGGGTCCAGAAATAATTTCGGTCTAAGGAACCACAGTCCTCAATAGAGAAGATAGAAAAAAAAGAGCTGAGAATTTGGGGGTATTCTATTGACATTACACTCAGGGGATGCTCAAATTAACACCCACATTTCCCTGACACTGGAAACTGGCTTCCCTCAACAGCAGAAAGCTTGGAGGGGAGGGGAGCTGTGCCACTAGGGGGCGCTGTGAGGACGCAGAGGCCAGCAAGTCACCAATAGTGGCTCTGCGTGTGCTGCTACTCCTGTCCAGAGGTCTGGAGTTGGTGAGCTTTGCGCAGGTGTGTGTGGGCTCCTAGGTGTCAGGCCACTAGCTTGAAGTGGGGACTGCTCGTCCTCTCTAACAGGCCCTTCCCAAAGGCCTCAGCCAGGCTTCCAATTCAGGTTGGAGCAGGGGACCCAAGGAGGAAATGAAGGGCAAAAGATGCTGAGGTGGGTGGGGGGTGCCTCCTCCACTATGCAGGCTCCGCAGTCAAAATCCCACCTACATGCTTGGGCCCCACCTCTGAAGTCCTACTCAAACCAGGCCATCTCCTTGCCAGTGAACCCTTTTCTACCCTTTTGCAACCCTGGCCCTACAGCCTTTAGCCCCCAAGGCCAAGCTACCCATGAATCGAAGTGTGAATCTGGGTATGGCCATCCTTCTGCAGCCAGTGACCAGACTATCTTGTTGACTTGAAGGACACGCACTCAGAATTTCCCCCAACCTCTAGGTATTCCTGGGTGAATGTTCAGGGTACAACCCCAAGGCCCGGAGAAAAAGTTGCTGCCCCACTGAGCCTTCCCAGTCACAGAAAAAAAAAGAGAGAGAAGCAGGCCCACAACTGTGACACAACTGCAATTACAAGAGGTTACAGCTGTCCATTTGGGATGTGGCCCCATAATAGAAGTTTCTGGTGACATCAACCACCATTGCTGATCCCACTCTTGTTGCAGGTGGGCATGTGCCTAGAGGAGGAGATACCTAACCAGTTGACCCAACCTGTGCCCCACCTACTGCTGGGATCCCTGGATTAGGCAAGGGAGGGACAAATAGAAGAGTAGGAGTCCACCAATGGCCATCCTGACCTGCCCTCTTTGATTCCCAGTTTTTGGATGTCGGGCTTTGAGAGCTGTGGGAAGAAAGCAGACTACAGCTGCCCAAGGACCAGTTCTGGTCCCTCTGGGGTTATGAGAGGTGAGATGGGCCAAGGAGGAGGGGACCCTCTGTCTTTACCAAGAAACCTCACCAGAGTCCGTGCAACAGCTCCTATCTACCTTGGCCACTAGGGAAACAATTGAGGTGGACTGGAAGGACTGGAAGCCAAACCCATGACAGTCCTCACCCATCTAATATCTACTTCTCAACTGCTAGCCAGCTTTTGTTTTCTTTTAGTCTGTTTACCCACCTAGGCTGAGGTAGGAGTTCCCCAAGTACCATCACATCATTATGTATTTGTGGCCTCAAAAGTCACAGCAGCATCTGCAAGTAGGCCTGACAGTGCAGGAAGGAAACAAGACTCAAGGGAGTTCGAGCAACCTGGTTCTGACTGATTAACAGGGTTGAGGATAGGGCCTACGATAACCAACAGTACCCAATATCCTCTCTCCCTGCCTTAGCCCATGTTGCTCCAGTGAGTAGTATGTGATTACGAACAGGTCTAGGTAGACCCTATGCCTAAAGGATCAACATGTCTAGTCCTAGGCCCAGATCCAACCAAACTCAGGTGAAGTGAATGACCTTCTGTGGCTCAGACCAGATATGGAAGCTGCAGTGGCTGCTATGAAGATGGGACAGAGACAGCTGGCTTTCTCCTCCAAGACCTACCACTCTCTATAAAAGCTTCCTTAGGCTGTACATACCAACATGTACACAAGAGTTCATTCTCTTCAGGCTAGAACTTTGGATTTGTGGGTAGACTCGGCATGAGTTGGTCCACTGATAAATTAAGAGACCATATGAAATCAAAGGCACTGACCAACTGACTAGTGTTGAAGACCTAGGTTTAAATTTAAGACTTTCATAGGTACAACCCATTTAACTCTCCTTAAACCTGTTTCCTTTCTGTAAAATGAAGTTAATTCCTACCTGCTTACCTCCTGCTGTGGCTAGAATTAAATCACCTAACATAAGCAAGTTCTTTGCAAAGGATAAGGCACAACCCAGATTGAATGTCACAACGCAGTGCAATACAACTAGAAGAGGATGGAAGAACCCGACCTGTGGTTCTGCCCATGTCCACACTGCTGCAGACAACTCCAACCACAGCAGAGGATGTAGAGAGGGTCAGCACTGGAAACAAGTTTGCTCTTGGGCTCTGGCTGCAACATCTGAGCAGGTAAAGGTGAGGAGCAACTCAACTGGAATTGTCTAATATTCTTACGGCCAGAAAGAGGAAGGAAGAAAGAACTGCTCTTGGAAATCCCTGTGGAATATCCCCACTAGTGAAAGTAGAATTTCCATAGACCCAGAATCAGCAAAGAATGGAACATGGACCCTGTTGTCCCAAACCAGGAGTCTGGAAAGTAAAGTGCATCACCCCTCCCCAACCCACGTCCATGACACTCACAGAACATTCACAACCTTTATTGTGGGTGAGAACTTTGCTACAGCTTTGGGAATAAAAAGTAAAATTACAATGTAAATCCTAGGCCCTGGAAGAGCCTAAAAAAAAAAAATTGGGAAGGAGGGCACAGGGGTCCTCCCTCCACCCAGGAAAGGTGCAGAATGAGCCAGGCCCAACCACAAGGCCATGGTTCTCCGGAAGCTTAGGTTCTGGGCTGATTGACATTAAGAAACATTGTGAACTTAAATATATAAAATAGAGAGAGACCTAGGCAATAAGCCAGGCCCTCCCCGCTTCCAAACCCCTGGAGATCACAACTAAGGCCTTATCTTCTTAGTCGTAGTGGGAAGTAGGAGGCAAGGGAAGTCATCTTTGGAGTGTTTTGGTTTTTCTTGTTTATGCACACACAAAAAAATCTGCAACTCAAAATAGAGATCTCTGTCCATTTCTGCAACTGCTTGTCTTGGTTTTGCCACCTATCTGTGGCTAAAAGGAATGGAACAAACATGAAAAAGAATGGATGGGTTTTAGGGATGGGAAGAGAGGCAACTTAGAGACAAGAGGAAAAACCTTTCCCCCAAATGACTCTAGATATAGTAAAGGCTGATGATTCAGCCCATCCCCCCAACTTACACCCCATCCCATTTGCCTTCTACTGCCTGGGTTAACAAACATGCCCAAAGGAATGTGCTGCCATCTAAAGACCATTTCCAAAAATAGACCCTAATGTCCTTAAAAAGAGGTTAAATATTAACCCTCTGGGTGCTGGCCTTGTTAGGCAATTGAGGCCAAAAGTCTTGTCCATGAAGACCTGTCTGGCCTTTGGCCAAAACCCCCTGACAGATCACAGTGGCCAGGGGTTGGGACACCACAGCATACCTGCTCAGTGTGGAGGGACAGTGAAGGTTTTGTAACTCAAGGAATTCAGTCCAAAGAAATAATGTCTGACCGACAGCCCGTCAAAGAGGAACCAGAAGGCAAAGATCCTCCGTGTCCCTCCCTCAAGGCCCCTCCAGGAGCAACAATGCTGCTGACACGGCCAGGAGGGGGTGCTGGAGTGGAGCTGCGGTGAGAGCTCCCCAAAGAAGGGGCCAAAGAGCCCAGAAAGTGGGAAGGGGTCCCCCGGTACTGGAAGAAGTGGCCAAGGGCATCCTGTTCATCTATCGAGGTGATGACAGAAGGAGCATAGTGCTGGAAAGAATCAAGGGCACAGATTAAGACTTTATCCTGACTTACTTACCTTCCATCACTCATCTTAGGGATATTTTATGGGATAAGTCAACCCATGAGTCTCAAGGAGTTTGAAAGAAGCAGGAGATCTATCTTGACTCTACCCTACCTCCCCACACCCTTCCCCTCTGCCCACCTTGAGGCAGCCCCACCAGCTCACTAAGTTCTTGGCCTTGTAGGTATCTGCAGTATATACACTGTCCAGTTGACAAGACACATGGGTACTGTGCTTTAAGTGCCCATGGTCTGTAGGAGTGAGTACGCAGGGAGAGAACTACACTAAAAACTTAACAGAAACGGGATCTAGAAAGACATAGGGAGGGAAGGAGGCATCCATCAGTGCCTAGCAAGGAAGTTTCAGAAATAGTAGATCTTTATGGGAAGAAAAGGGGCCACTCACCTGACTCTCAGTCTGAAGAAAAGAAAATAAATCTAAACCTGGTAAGAAAGGAAAAATCAAAATCAACCTCCTATAAAAAGTTCCCTTCCAGCTGGGGATTTAGCTCAGTGGTTTAAGTGCTTATTTGGCGGCAAACATGAGGTCATGAGTTCAATCCCCAGTACCAAAAAAAAAAAAAAAAATTCCCTTCCAAAGTGTGAGGTTGTGAGTTCGATCCCTAGTACCAAAAAAAAAAGTTCCCTTCTTGCTGGGTGTGTAATTCCTGCACTTGGGAGGCTGAAGCAGGAGGGTCAACACAAGTTTGAAGCCAGTATGGATTAGAGAGTTCAAGACCAGCCTGAACTGTATAACAAGACTGTCTCAAAAAAAAAAAAAAAAAAAAGTTCCTTTCCAAAAGATCCACTTGGCTCTGAAACAGCCAAGGTTCTGGAAAGGGCATGGCAGCCACCTTAGGATCTGTGTCATACCTTGGATGTCAGCCCCCAATGGGAAGGCAGGTGGGTACTCATGCAATGGGAGACTAGACAGAAAATCACTGCCCAGCGCGCCCATCACAGGACTCCGAAGCACCGAGGATGGCTGGTGACTAGAGGTCAGGATTCTGCGAAAAGAAAAAGAAATGGAGCAAACCACAGATGCCCACACCCAGCTCAACTTCCCAAGCTGGTTTCCTGTAGTCTCCAGCTTTCCCTTCCCTAGGAGGGTTTGCCTGATGATCAGAAAGCATTTCTTCCTGCTTCCCCTGCCCCTTTTGCTGTAGATTCTGCCTTTTTCTTACCCTTTGCTTCCAGGTAAGGCTGGGATGGCAGCTGAGGTGACAGGACAGTGCTTCTTGGTTGGCGGCAGATCCTCCTCATCAGATGAGCTTTCTATTGTCAAGTCAATAACTTCAACCTTCTTCTTATTCTCTGACGGATTTCCTTCCTGGACTGGGCTATACTGGAGACCTGTGGTTGGGAAGAAGAATGTGTCTAAGGAAAAGGCCCATTCAGGGTTTAGCTCAGCTAGTGGACAGAGGGTCACTCACCGTCCAGCCCATACCCTGGCGGGGGGCAAACCTCAGATGCCTCCTTTTTGGGTTTCATCGGGCACCAGGATCCATCTTCCATAAACTGGATCTCATCACAATCCGAACAGGAATTAAGAATCTCCATGAATAAACTAGGGGAGGGGAAAAGATGAGAATTCAGGAGGGTTGGAGTGGCTAGAATAGCAGTCATAGAGTTCTGTGACTCATCTTCTTGTACCTCAGTTTCCTCATCTGTAAAATAGACATATTAGCCACCCTACTATGCCTCTCTGAGTTGTTAGCCTCGTGAGAAAAGTTAAGCAGAGTAAGTATGTAAAAGAGCCTTATGAACTTTGGGTGTTAGGTTTTGAAATAAATGTAATCTGAGCATTTGTTAGGTGTAGTTCTGGCAATGAGACAGAACTCCATAAACCACCTCAAGAAAAGACACTATGATGTGATACACTATGAGGTGCACACCTATAATCCCAGCACTTCGAGGCTGAGGCACAAGGATCACTGCAAATTAAAGGGTAGCCTGAACTACAAAAAGAGACAGTCAAAAAAGACACTAAATGAAAGCCATAATGAAAGCTCCGGAAGGGAGATAAAACCAGCTATGAAAAAGAAATTCTTGCTTATGGAAAATAAAATGCTTGAAGAGGGAGGTAGGCAAAGAGCTTAACAAAACCAGGTCCTCAAAAGAGCCCTGTTACTATGCTCAGCAAGGGCTCAGGGTGTGGTTTAATGGTAAAGCACTCACCTAGCACAAGGCCGTGGGTTCAACCCCCAATACAACATAAAACAAAATTATGCTTAATAGAAGGCAGGAACAGTAGGAGGAAACTGTAGTACGAGCTTGTTGTAGGTAATGAAGCAGTTCAAAAGAGTGGCTCTACCACTTACAGTGTAACCTTGAGCAAGAATCTCTCGAGGCCTGTTTCCTCATCTCTATTAGTGGTACTTATAGGGTTATTATGAGAACTTGATGAGATAATGTGCAAAGTGATCAACGCGATGCCTTTTACATACTAAGTCATTAAGGCTACACATACACCTGTATATAGATTGCTAAAACAGGTAGGATGAGAGCTACGGTTTATGTTAAGGAAAGTGAGCCATATTTATTAAAAGGTTCTAGCTAAAAGGCAGCAAAATGGCCCTACCCATCAATAATAAGAGATTCGTAAGGAGCCTTCTTGTCACACACAGGACATGTCCATGTTGGCTTCTTCTCATTCATCTGTAGGTAAAGGGCAGCATCAAAGCTCTGCAGATGGGCACAGGTGAGGGCACGGCATGGGACAGTCAGGCGCATCTTCCCTAGCTGAGAAGAGGAGAGTTCTGTAGTCAGAGCCCCCACTCTGGTTTCATTCAAAAAAACCTTATCAAAGACCAGAGGTTTACCCAACCATCCACCCCCTTCCCTTCTCCCCTTGTACCCACCGGGCACATGAGTGACACCCGGAGACTTGTAGTAGCCACTTCACTGTCAGGGTCAGCAGTCAATTTCTCCTTTACTGAAACAAGAGTGAGGCCACAGCTATGGGATCCACAAAGGAAACCCAGGAGTTAGCAAGTCCAGAAGCCAACAGTCCTGGCTGAGAGACAGCCAAAAAGACTTTGGAGACTGATGTCACATGGGAGTGGTTTGGGATCTGAATTATAGAGGCTGGGTGTGGGGGAAAGGTTTACCCAGCCCTAAAGATGCTTAAACATAGCTAGGTGATGCTTTTGCTACATTAGAGATGACCTAGAAGGAACTGAGGCATCACATGGGAGTTACATTGGAACCCATATCCTATCGGGGCTGGAGTTAGAATCTGGGGAGCAAAACAGACATGCAATTGGAATACAGTGAGTATCATTCACTGCCTACAAGTGATTCAACTTTTCAACCGTGAAAACTAGTAAAGTATATGGGAAAGAGCTGGGATTCACATGAGAAAGGCTATCACACATGACCAGTGGATTTCATTACGCAGGCTGGAGGGCCAGAAAACTTGAAGCCAGATAAGAGGGGAAAGATGTTACTCACTCAGTGCCCGGGAGTGGTCTGGGTTCCGGATACCCTTTGCTCTGAGTTTCTGTAGAAGGGTTCCTGCAGTCAACTGCCTCACGAGGTACACAGACAAGGAGTAATTCTACTTGCGTGGAGAGAAAGAATTAGCGTCTGCTTCTAATACCACCACTACCACCCTCTTTTGGTCCATGAAGACCAGAAACCCAAGACATTGGATGGCTCCTGTCTGCCCTTGGCAATCCTTTCCAGTAACCCTATTTTAGCTACACTCACCCGTCCAAACTCAGATGACCAGTTGACCACAATGGTATTGGGAACAGTGGCTGAGAGTCTAGCCAGCGGTGTGATGTTGATGGGGCGGCTGGGCCTCTTGGGCTCAGCACCATTCTTGGTGGGGGGAAGGTAACCCTGAAGAAAGAACTGGTTAGTGGAGAGGAGGCTCTGGGGAGGGTTCTGCTCTAACAACAAAAGATATCTTGTCTTAGCTTACACACTCCCCAGGGGAAGGCCATCTCTCTCAGTACACAAGGGGAAAGGAGTTCATTTAGTGAAACATTATTTAGTATTATATATGGGTTTCATTCCTCAATAAATAAGGAAATCTTACTTATCACCAACCAACAAAATAGGAAGCTATTCACTGAGTTCTTCATGAAGAGGGAAAAGGACACCTGACTTCTCTCAGCTCAGCTCTGGGATCATGAGTTCTCTAAGAAGTCTTTCTTGTCTTTTT